CCGCCTCATAAGATTCAGTTTCAATCTCAAGTATCTCAAAAGTAAGGCTCTATTTTTGCCATGTAAAGTATCACTTTTTCTGTCAAACCGTTTTTATCGTTTTTGTTTACAACAGAATCACCACAAGTTAATATCTTGTTGACTTCAACATCAAATATTCAAGATTGGGTTCAAATTTACAACAATTTCCGACATTTCGGTCTTCCAGTAAAGCCTGGAACAAGTTGACCCTACACTCTTCAAGAAATGAATAACTTGGCATCAGATTACAGAAAGTTTAACCAGCAAATTTTTAAAGTTTGCTGATAAAACAAATTGATTGAGATACCATTGATCAAGGAAAGTCAACCGTATTAGAATAAAGATTGAGAAAGGGACAAACTATCCAGTGTCACTTTTCAAAGGAATAAAAAATAATTGTAATGCATGAAAAATAGCGTGACTTCATTTTTGACAGTTTACAAATGTAAAGTGATGCATCCTTAAAAACTTGGAAATATATACATTCATGAATTATCTTGTATATTAATTGAAAATCCATAAAACCCTAACAATATTTTTCTTAAAAAAAACTATAAAAATATAAATAAAATTAATCGTTAAATAAAAATATTTGATATTAGAATTTTATTGGAAAAATAAAAAACTTAATATTTTAAAGAAATACTTAAATACTTGAATGTTTTAACTTTTACATTATCATATAGACTCTCAAATTATTGATTGGAAACGGTTTGAGGGTTATCAATTTAAAAAAAATTGTGAGTTTTTTAGATTTTTGGCAATGAGTTTTAAAAATTTGTGAGTGAGAATGTGTGTTGATGCTTGGCACTTTGAAGGGAAGATGTTCTGGGTTCACAATTATTAATGGGATAAATAAAATAATTATAAATATAATATATTAGAAAATAACTTGCAAAATCTCTCCATTTTTATAAATTTAATAATAGAAGTTGATCTATATAGAAAGAGCGTTTTATCTATTAAGTTTTTGGCTTTTGCCTTCAAATCATTAATATAATTTTTTCAAAAAAATTGTTTTATTTTAAATAAACAAATTTTATCAAATAACTAGTATTTTTAAATTATCTTTTGAAAAATTGAAAAATTTACAAATTAAAAAATGGAAGACATCTTGGTTCGTCTCGAAAACCCAGAAGATCTTCAAACTTTTCAACTCCCAACCGTTCCCGCCGATCAGGTTCTCAACGTAATTGAAGAAAAATATCAAGAATACATTAATAATCCAAATGTAACTCTCGAAGATACGGCAAAAACACTTTCAATAGGAAAAGAACGTTTGAAAAAAATTTTCGTACTACTCGGCTATCCAATAAAAGAAAGAGGAAGACCAAAGAAAAAAATTTTTGAGGAAGATGTATACAAAATTTTGGAAATTAAAGCACAATATGACATTGGATACAAAAGGATCAAAGAATCATATTTCGAAAAAGTCGAAAGATTTACATTCAACGATGCTTTCAAAATTTTCAATCAACAACATTTGTTTACATTTCACAGGCATCAGAAAATCGACGAACATCCACATGAATACGTTGCTCAATATGTTAATCAATTGTGGCATACTGATTTGAAATTTCTGAAGGACGATAACGGTAACCTTCAATATTTAATTTCATTTCTTGATGACAGAAGCAGATACATTATTTGCTGGGATGTTTTCGATACAAAAGAAATGAAAAATACTGCCAGAGTATTTCGTCACGCAATTGATTTAGTCAAATTAGTTCCACATGGAATTCTCACAGATAATGGAACAGAATTCATTGGAAAAGATTTTGAAGCGGTTTGCCAAGAATTCAATATAAAACATTTCAAAACTCATCCGTACTCTCCAGAGGAAAATGGAAAAATTGAAAGGAGTTGGGAGACTCTTTTCAAGACAAACCCTGGAGTGAACGTCTTTGAGTTCATCCCCAATGTTGTTTCCCAGTATAATAGGGTATGGAAACACTCCGCATTATTCAAACTCTTTGGGGAGAAATTGACTCCATTTGAGGCCTGGGAAAGAGGCCCCAAATGGACAAAAGATCTCTGCGCTGAACCAGGCTTCGAAAAAAATCTTAGAGATTAACAAATAATTTCAAAAACAAGAAAATTCAAAAAATCACAAAAAGGAAGTTAAGGAATAAACACTTACATTTATTACATTTGGATTTTTTAAAAAATTCAGTATTATTTTTAGAAATAAGATAATATAGTTCTAAATAAAACAAAGAATGTTAAGAATGAAGAAGGAATTAGCGGATGCAGCCGAAGCACACTCACAAATTACTCTCAATATCCACTCAAATCATACAAAGTTTTGTCGAATAGTTTGATATAAAGACAAAAAATTTACAATTTTTAATTAAATCCGAACAATCTTACATATGCAGCTGAAGCACACTCACAAATTACTCTCAATATCCACTCAAATCATACAAAGTTTTGTCGAATAGTTTGATATAAAGACAAAAAATTTACAATTTTTAATTAAATCCGAACAATCTTACATATGCAGCTGAAGCACACTCACAAATTACTCTCAATATCCACTCAAATCATACAAAGTTTTGTCGAATAGTTTGATATAAAGACAAAAAATTTACAATTTTTAATTAAATCCGAACAATCTTACATATGCAGCTGAAGCACACTCACAAATTACTCTCAATATCCACTCAAATCATACAAAGTTTTGTCGAATAGTTTGATATAAAGACAAAAAATTTACAATTTTTAATTAAATCCGAACAATCTTACATATGCAGCTGAAGCACACTCACAAATTACTCTCAATATCCACTCAAATCATACAAAGTTTTATATTTTCATTTTATTGTTTCTTAATAAAGAATTAGGTCAGGTAAGTGGGGCTTCCAGGCGCGTTGCGCCCTCTAGCCCCTAAAAAAACCCAGAGGAGAACTAAAAAAATTATATAGTAAAAAATTAAAGTTTTTATTCGATAAGAACGACATCGCTATCGTTATCTTCTTCTGAAGTTTCTTCTTCATCATCATTTGTTATAGGGTCTCCAACATATCCAGCAATGAAGATACGGATGCCTTGGTTGAATGGTGTATGGAGAGAGAACTTGGAGTTTCCAACAAATTGGAATTCGCAGTCCAATTTGAGCTGTGCTGAGGAGGAGGTAAACTCGGCTATTTTAAGCGGCTCACGTCCTTGACGAACATTATATAGAGAAACACTTTGACCGAATGTAACCCTTTCAGGCTCAACCATAGCAATAGTTGAAATTACGTGAAGAAAGTCTTCATAGAATTGTTTTGGTTGTATTGTGAATGTCTTAGCAAGCTTTCCTTGAGGAACATCTACATAGAACTTGAAATGTTGTTCCTTTCCGTGTTCTTGAAGTTCTTCAATCCAATTATATGTAAGTGGATAAGGATGTAACAGTTTCAGACGTGCGTATAGACTTTTTTGCTGTCTGGGACTGAATGTTTGAATAAACTCGTCACAGAACTGTAAACCAATGATATTTGCTGTATAAGGAAGCAATTTGAAGAAGAATTCTGAAAGGTTTGTTGGATTTTGAACATTATCTTCAAATTTTTTGACGGCTTCAATAATATCATTGTAGAAATCTGAATAGTCATTTGTGTCTTTAATGCTTAAGTTTTCTGAGTAATTCTTCATGAATTGTTCGAGTCTCTTGACTGCGTCCTTACGAATATCGCTTTCTTTTATTTCTGGTTCTACCAAATATTCTTCTTCTTCTTCATGAGTAAGTACAATTGGAATTGTACCAGAATTGGAAGTTTGTTTTTGTGTTTGCTGTGTAGTTTGAGAGGTTGAGACATGTGTGTGTTGTTCTGGTGCGTTTGAAGGTTGGTTTGAAGTAGAATTGGGTGGAATTTGGTTTGAATTCGAATTTGAGTCTGATTGACCCTGAATTGTTGCTTCAACCGAAGGAGTAGGTTGAGAAACCTTTGGGGTTTGCTTGAAGAATGTTGTTAACAACATTTGTTGTCCCCTACAAAGGGTAGAATTGGTAACAGCAGTGTCAGTGGTGTTGGGCTCCATTGAGAAAAAATGAACTGACCAGAAGTTTGTGGAAAATGAATATTGAATAAAAATGGTTTTTACCAACGGAGACCCCGTCTATTTTTTTATTTTATTTAATAGTTACCGTTGGAAAAACGGTTTATCTCAAATATTGAATGAACTATAAACGTTTTTTGTTTTCTATATATACTTTTTTGTCCAACGGTAAAACTTTTTACACAACGGTTTTTGAGAGTCGTCGCCGTTGACTTTTTTGTAGAGCACTCAAAATAGTATAACTTTGTCCGGACAAGTAAGGGTCTATCGTCGCTACAGGAAAAGTTACAGGCGTTCCAAGGAAGTATACTTTGAGAAGCCTTTTTCCCCTTATAGAATGAGATAGGACGGTTATTTTACAAAACTGACAACACTTTGACCGAGTAGTTTTTTGAGCTGAACAAAAAGTGTCATATAAACATCTGTCAAAAACCGCTTTTTAACTTCACTTAAAATGCCACGTAAGCTACGTAAGAATATACGTAAGAGGAAGGGAGCATTGAAACATCCAATAGTAAAACTGACACCACAACAACAGTTGCAACAACAAATGATGAATGACCCCACTATGTTGCAACAAATGTCAAGCAACCCTATGCTTTTAAACCGAGTTATTGGTGCACAGAGTGGAGGTTTAAGAGCGGCACTTTTAGCGAAAATGGCAGGCTATGGTGGAGCTGCAGACGGAACAGCTTATAACCCTCAAAGTCAAATGAATTTGAGTTCACTCAAAAATCAAATAACAGATGTCAAAAGTCAAACATAGACATACAGAAACAAATAAGTGAAAACGAAAAGAAACTAGAATATGACAGACACACAAAGAAACTCAATGAGTTAAACGTAGAGAAAAAGAAGAAAGAAGAACAACTGAAAAACTAAGTACAGAGGAATATGCGAAAAAAGTGTCAGAAAAAGCAGCAGAAGTAGCAAAAATGGAACAAGATGTTATAAATTTGAAAAACCATACTACTCAATATAAAGTACTGAAAGATGAAGAGATAAAACAAAAAGCCCTGAAGACATATATGGATAGCGATGAGTATAAAAAAGAAGTTGAAGCAAATGTAAAGGCAGAAAAACTTTTACAGTTGCAAAACCAAACCGTACAGTATGAAAACTTAGCACAAGAAAGTAAAAATAACGACGCAGCCATGCAAAAGGCAATGAAAAGTGCAGAATATATAAAAGCTAATAATGACTGGTTAGATGCCCAAGCCAACGCTAAAGCAGCCCAACTTATAGGGTCAATAAGGACAAAAATACAAGCGGATGAAGACAGTTCAAATGAAGCTTTAATGAATGCTGACTTTAAGAATGCCTTCGAAGCTCTTCATAGTAAGGTGAAACTAGTGAACGACTTCTCATCTGGAAAGAAACTGAAGTCTGAAGGTTTCGACAACGAGTTAAGAGAAGTAGCACAAAATATGACGAAAATAACAGATGCAGCAACGAGACAGGCAGTTCAAAGTGCCTATGACGCCGTTAGAGCAACTGTTGTGGAAAGTCAAGAAAAAGAGTTACAACAGACCAAAACAGACCTAGTAAATGCTTTCTTAAGAACGAAAAGTCAGGTAGGACATTATGCTGCAGATGGAACATATGTGCCAGCTGGTGGAACTTATATACCACCAAACCCTCCAAGAGAAGCACCTGCACCAGGACTACCTAAAACATTTACATCGTCACATGGACACAGACACAGGCATGCACCAAAACCAACACAACAACCAACAGTTCAAAACCCTGCACAACAACCAACAGTTCAAAATCCAGCACCACAACCAAAACCAGCACCACAACCACCTCCACAACCAGCACAACAACCAACAGTTCAAAACCCTGCACAACAACAACCACAAACAGAGCAAGGACATAAAAGAAGTAGAGAAAAAAGAAACCAAGAATTCTTAAAAATGCTTAAGGAAGATTATGGTTACCCAGATACTCTTGACTTTAGTGACAGATATAAAGAAGCTATTAGAAAGTTCAAGGAAGGAAATACTGACCCGAACCGATTTAGCTTTATGGTTCAGCATCAAATGGGATATAATCTCAAACCTGGAAAATACAAGCTCGCTAAGGGATATGATTTAATACCATATCATCCAAATGACATGAATGAATTTACTCCGAGATATTTGGTGTCAGAGCTAAATGATAATTCAACTCTCTTCATGAAACGCGTAAAAAATAGAGACGGAACGAAAGAAGAAAGGTTTATGAGTCCGGATGACTTAGATAGGGAACTTGTTAAAAATGGTCTCGGAATATATGAAATGCCACCAGATGAGGTACAAGAAACTCCACAGGAAGAAGTTCAGATACAACCAGACATGGAAGAAATAGTTCAGCAACAACAGCTAGAAGAGCCTGAAGGAAACGAACAAGTCCCTCCTTTGGAAACTAACTTCACAGAACTAGATGAAGATTTGGAACAGCCGAAAAATCTTGACCCTCAACAAGAGTATGAGGTGAATATGGAATCTTTCCAAGAGTCTAAGAAAAATTCGGCTGACATAGTAGAAGAATATCGAAAAATGTTCGCCGACATACAAAAGACTCCAACATCAGATGAAAATATTCAGCATAGAATGGAAGTACTGAAAGAAAATGTACGCAAATACAATAATCCTTTTTACTTACGACCATATAACGTTCAATCTTTGGCTGAACTCGGTGAAAATAAAAGGTTAAATTTCAACAAAACATATAGAAATGAAACATTGTTTAAAGTTCATTCAGAACCTAACCAATATGGAAACAAACCTACTTTTGTTTCTGCAGACTATGGAACTACAATGAAATGGGGTCATAAAGCTAATCCGGATAGGTGGTTCATAAACTTACAACCTCAATTCCAAGAAGTTGTAGACGCAATGGAAGTGAATGGTGAATCAGATATAGCTGGTATTTTCAGCGCGGCTTTAATGCTATTGAAAGATATGAAAGATGCAGATATTTTGGACCAGTATGAAATGAACATGGCTGAGGGAAATATAACACCTGACGTTCTAGAACATTTATCTCAAAGAACTACACAGAACCATAGAGATGGTATATTTGGTGAAGAGTTTAGAAAGAAAGTTAGGGAGAGAGAAAGAAGAGAACCTATTGTACATGACCTTGCAAACGAAAGTTTGCAAAATGTCATAAAAACTTACTTTGCAGACAATGAACCGAGAATGGATGAATATTTAAGAAAACTCAAATGGACAGTACCAAATGAAATGTTAGTATTGAAAAACATGTTCCTTGACAAAATAAAACCAACTACAGAAATAAATGACGCAAGACTGAAACATTGGGTAAAAGCTTTCCCATTCACAAAAGATATTATTGGTAACATGGAAAGAAAACCAGAATGGCTACAAAAACATATATTTGGAAACGAGCTTATTCCATATGGACAAGCTCTGTTTGAAGAGCTTGAACCGGAAACTCAGGAAAGAGTCATGCAAACAATACGCGAAGACTAAAATACAAACTATGACAAAATCTTTCTAGGATATAGGTTACCTGAGATGGGCGACCAGAGCCCAAAGGCAAAAAGGACATGGGAAATTTACAACATACTAGGTGAACATGAGGCAAAGATGCAACAACTTGAAGCAGAGGGCAAGTTACCAAAAGCGACACCAAAGAAGAAGAGTAGAACAAAGTGAAAATAGTGAAGAAGTAACTTCATCTAGTGAAAGTAGTGGCAATGAAGGAAAAAGAAGAGTTAAAAACTCAGTCAGGAAGAAAGTAAAGCTTGGTACGAGTGGGTTCTATTATGACACATAAATTCAACTATTCTATATTTTTACCCATATGAAATGTACGCCGCTCAGAATATAACGCCAACAGTTTTGGATGCCATGAACGGAAATGTTTCCGAATGGTATAACGAATGCGACAATGCCAGTAGAAGGTCAGAAATAGTTCCTGGAACTTACGAATATACAACTGCTGTTTCTTATGGAAACGTAGGTGAGTTTGGAGAAGGTTCTTCAACAACAGTAGATATTGCTTGCGACAGGTTTCATATTATTTCTATTGACAACTCATTCTTATACGTGGAACAAGACATTGAAATAAAACCTTCTGCCAAGTTGTCTGACAAGAAAGGTTGCAATGGAATTTTCTATGTCGGATACCAATATGCTCCAGAAGTTTTCATGGGATATAAGATATATTCTAACTCTGACTTAGTTCAAACAGTAACATGGGCAAACTATGAATGGTTCGCTTTGAGAAACTCAGTACAACCACAAGCTAGAGAACAAACAGACCAGTATGCCACCATTGAGAAAATAAGAAGACTTGACCCTAACGTTCCAGGAGTTTATGTTAACCTTTCTGGTTCAGATGGAACTGCTGCCACTAAAGTAAAACTGAAACTTAGAGTTCCTTTGTCATCTTTCCTCATCTTCAGGTTTTTAAGATACTTGCCAAACTGGGCAGGAAAAATTTCTATTGAACTTACTCCAAGCAAAAATAACTTAGTCATTGCACCAACACAAGACCCATTCACTATTACAGACGTAAAGGGAACAAATCAAACGTCATTTGCCGAATTTTGCAAAGACAAAGTTGACTTAGACTTTGGTTTCTCAAACCTCAACACTGAAGTAAACTATTATTTCAATGCTGCTGGAGATGCTTGGGACCCAGTTAAGTTCACATGCGAACAGTTTGAATGCAAGAGAATAGAAAGCAGACTTGCCGTTTATATGTTGGACCCAGATATTTCAAATGCTTTAGCTGCCAAATATATCGCAGTTCCACTTATGTTCCCTATACACCAAATATCTGTCAAAGACTTTGCAGGTGAAGTTGGAAACCAAAATCCAGGAGCCGAAGGTGCAAGAACAGATATTGCTTTAACAACTGCAATGAAACATGCAGATACTATGTTTGTACTGTTCAGACGAACTATAAATGACTATTCTTGTTTCTACAACCCTGGTATTAAATATCATATAAACATAGATGGCAAATATTATCCAAGAGAAGAATATTCTACAGTTGAGGATATGAGGTCATACAACTTGACATTAGATGCTATGAACTTTAACAACAACTTCACAACAACCATTAACCCTGAAATGCAAAGTTCTATTATGCCATATGTGAAAGTATGGACTCATACAGGAGGTCAAAAAACTCAATATACAAATGGAGACCGTTCAAACTTTTGGCTTGGCATTCCATTTGCTGACTCAGAAGACTTTATGGGTGGTATTTCAACTGTTGGTACAGTTCAAATACAATATACTGGTGACAGAGACGGTCCAGATGAATTGAAAGCAAAGAAGTTTACAAAACCAATAGCACTTTTCACGGAAGATGCTCTTTTGAAGATTCGTTCGATGAAACCTGCTGGGGCTCCTCAGATTGGCATAACGACAGCTTCCATCGAGCAGATTTTGGCAGCAGGTCAGTAAGTTGTTCTTGAACTGACTTCTCTCCGTCAAATATTGACAGTACGCCAGTTTTGACATAATATTGTATTATAAACTTTCCTTTAGTAATATCTGTAAGTTTTGAAGTTATATTTTTGTCTGCTTCAAGAACTTTCACCATTTCAGTTATACCAACTTTCTTTGCTTTATGAAAATATTTGGTTCAGCAAAGACTGCTATTCTATAACATTTTCCATTGTTTGTGTAAAGAACTATTCTGTCAATGTATTTGTATTGTTTGTGAGTATAAACTTTGTTCTGCTTCAATTCAATAAGATATCCGAATACGTCCATCTTTTTATTCTAAGTAAAATGTCATTTCCGAAAAATAGAAGCATAAGTGTTTCAAAAGGTTTAATGGCGGTGGCAGATGTGAAGTTAAATTCACCAACTCAAACAAACAGTCAAAGTGTTGTTGTCAATGTCAAAGACAGAGATGTTGAAGTGGGGAAACCATACGAAGACGAAGATGGTATAACAATTGTTCCTGTAAAAGAACCAACATATCCTGAAGTTAGCAGAGACTTAAGTTCTGTTGCAGATATTCGAAACGACTACCAACAACTGAAAGACAAACTTCAAACTCAGGAGAAGATTTGTCAAGCTTTAAGTATAATGTTAAACTTGGTCGAACACAACCCTGTAAAAGTGAACTCATATGTCATTGCACCTCATGAAGTTTTGAAAGAACTATTGAAACTTTTGACAGAGGCAGACGATATAAACATCAAAGAAATAGAACCCGACATTAGTTGCTGTGGTGTTTCATATAATGCCATTGACAAGATATACGTTATGAAAGGAGGTGAAACGTTGAACTTAAAATATAGTTTCCCAGACGTTATAAAAATATTTGACGACCACAACATTTCATTAAAATTTATTTGCTAAGTAAATGGCAGAAGACATAATGGTTTATACTATTACGACTAAAAACCCTGAGTCATATAATTCTATAACAACAAACTTACAAAGTCCTCAAGGACGATATTGTAAACTAACCTTAAACACAATGACGACTAAAGCCTGTTTTGCTCTTTTGACACCAGAAGACTTTATTGTTGTGAATGGTAAAAAATACTCCTTTGAAGATACTTACTCAGATATACCACCAACAGGTTTTGTTGACTTATTTAATACTTTAAGTACGGGTGTAACATGTGCTGCAACTAGAGCAGGTTTCATTATGTTTGGATGTCCGACTGAGTTTACTATAAACGATATGAGCTATAATACAAAACTTATTTCTGGTTTTTACTACCAACAGTTTCCTATAACAGGAAAAGGTGTCATACAAGGAATGTCTATTCCATTGACATTAAGCACACCAATCTTATATATTGTTTCAAACTTAGGTTCAAAGTGTTATTCGAATGTCGACAGAAAATATATGACCAAAAGATACTTATGCGTATAAACAATACTTTCTCTGCTGGTTTGCCTATTGTTCATTCGAATGCAGAATTTTCAACCTTAGTGAACTCAAACACTTTGGCAAGTATAACGTTGACATTAGTTGACGCAAACTTTGTTCCTGTAAAACTTTTATGTCCTATGTATTTGTCAATGACGGCAGAAAGTTTCGAATTGGAAGATGCAACTGGTGAAAGTATTGTATTACAAGAACAACTTCAACAACAAATAGCTCAAGAACAACAAATGCAACAAATGGAATAACAAAGTCAAGAATAAAAAAATATTATTTTTTTATTTTTATAAAAATGTACAGAATAGATGTTTCAGATTTTTATGACTTCCAAGCATTCAGAAATATGTGTCCATTTAGAGACTATAACAAAGCAGTCGAGAATTTGAAACGTTTAGTCATTTATGTTGACTTGCCCCAGAATGTTATGTCATGAAAGAATGGATGTTGTCTTTAACAAACCAAGAGCAACAATAGTGTCTGAACAAGAATGTAGACAGAAACTTAAGAAAATAAAAGTCGTACAAGTTGGCATGAAGATGTTAGATGCTTGGGATATCTTATTGTCAAAACTTGAAGATTTTTCAGTTCGAGGTATAAAGTTCTATACACCTTCTCCAAACTTCTATTCTATCTTCACTGGATATAAATATGAACAAGTAGAATGGAAAGAAAATAATATAGAAGCTTGGTTAGACCATGTCAAAGAAATTATATGCAATGGAAACGAAAGAGTCTATGAGTATATCTTATGTTGGTTTGCAAACATCTTACAACATCCAAGTGCTTAAAATGAAACTGCTCTCATTATAATTGGAAAACAAGGAACTGGTAAGAATACTTTCTTTATAGATATCTTATGCAAACTGTTAGAAGGTTATTCGAACCCTAATATGACAAACTTAGAAAACATCTGTGGCAAGTTTAACTCCTCAATAGAGAATATGAAACTTATAGTTTGCAATGAACTTCAAAGAATAGATACAACAAAAGTTTTGAACTCAGATGCTTTGAAGAGTCTTATAACAGACAAAGTTGGAGTTGTTGAAAGAAAGTATAAAGACCAAAGAGTTTGTGAAAATGTTGCAAACTTCATTATGGTTTCAAACAATGCTGTTCCGATGAAGTTAGAAAGTTCTGACAGAAGATATGTAGTTGTCAGAACGTCAGATTCTCATATGCAAGATACAGAATATTTTGACGACTTAGCAGAAACTTTGACATCTGACTTTTACAACCACTTGTTCTCATATTTCATGACATTAGATATTTCTAAGTTCAATCCAAGACAAATTCCACATACCGAAGAGAGACAAACATTGTTAGAAGCAAACAAGAGTGTATATGAACTGTTCATAGAAGAAACGACTTTGTGTCATTAGATGAAAGGTCTTTATTGATTTGTATAAACAATATTGTCAAGAATATGGTTATATATGGCAGCTTCTAAACGAACATTCTTGGCAAATGTCAAAAGTCTTTTAGATTTCAGAATGGTGTATATACAAAGAAAAATTTTTCTGAGTAAATTTTAAAAAAAATTTATCCGATAGAAAAGATGACGAAATTCATCTCAGTAAACAAGTACATGTCAGGACTTAAAGAGAACTAGACCTATTCACATATTTGAATGTTTACTTCTACCATTTTGAAAAGTCTTCATTCAGCAAAGTTTGGAACATCGAACCAGTTAAGTTTGCTATTGTGACTAAAAATGGTGCGAAATTTGAAGACTTAGACATAGAAGGTTTGTTAACAGTCAAAGAAAGTTTGACAGAAAGTTCTCAAACCTTAAAGAAGGCAAAGCATACAAACTTGTTATACCTTATGAACCAAAGAAGACAGACGACTATGAATATTATGAGTCTAAAGTTGTAGAAGTTCAAGGTAAATTGGGTAAAAAGATTTAGAGTCTAAGCCAGTGTTTATTCCTAAAGAGGAAGAGAACATTGACATTGACCCAGAAATGTTCTAAAAATAAAATTTTATTTTTACATGTCAAATTTCTTTTTCTCTGGAACTGGTTCAGGTTCTTTCTTCTCTTCTACTTTCTTTTCTTTCTTTTCTTCCTCTTCTTTCTGGTGGAGTTATGTCAAATTTGCGCATATATTTATGTAAAGTTCTTTGTCCTTTAATAGCTCATCTATTCTGTTTTCTATTTCATCTTCAAGAACAGCGCATGTGTCTTTTGCATTCTAAGAATTTTGTTGGACTTCATCTTTCCAATCGGCGTCATCTCTGTCAACAAGTCTGTCATTGACAAATTTTAAGACGGCTCTGCTTAATGTTTTATGGTTCTTGTCATATTCCAGAAACAGAACTTTAGAACAAATTCACCTTTCTTGTTTACACTATGTAAGATTTTATGTCGACAGATGTTTTGCTGTCAAAAAGTTTGTCTCGAATATAGATAGCGAAATCGCTAGACATTTTCTAAAAGATAAAAATTTTAATTTTTCTAAATATATTTAGAAAAAAAGTTTGCTGACATTGACAAAAATTTGAGAATGTTTAAACAAGAACAAGAGGAAGTTAGAAAATGCTCAGATAAAGCCTATACATGACAAGTTCTTATTTGCTCAGAATGGTATAACAGGTCTAATTGCACCACCTGGGTCGGGTAAGACTTTCACTTATCTTAAAATGGCTGCACAACAACAAGAACTAGATGAGAAGAACCCATTCTATGAGTTAGTTGTTATTTGTTCGACTTCTGGTCAATTTGACCAAACCGTCAATTCGTTCAAAATATTATAAAGAAGTCTAAGTTAGTATGTATAAAGGATACTGAGTTGTTAGATTGGATAAAGAAGTACCAAAGAAGAGTTTTGAAGTATAATGCTATAAATGAGTATATAAATTCTAAGTTTAAAGACCCAAATGAGGAAATGCAGAGAATATTAGAGAAGAAACACTTCAGAAACAAACAGAAAGAGATAGAATACATTCGAAGAAATTGCAATCTTACGATTGGAAGACTTACCCTCATAGATGTCTTCTTATCTTAGATGACTTTCGCTCTCATCCTTTGTTAAAGAACAGAGACAAGATATGTGTCGAATTCTTAAGAAGCTCAGACACTTTAACATCTCAGTTGTCATTTGTGTACAGACAGCAAAGAGTTTAAGTAAGGATGTAAAAGAATACTTACTGACATAATACTTTTCCCCGATTGTCCGAAGACGATTTCATGGAACTTATGAAAGAGTCCATGGCAGTAAGTTTGACAGACATGAACTATGGGAAAGTACAAAGTCATACAAGACCCTCATACTTCTTTCAGAATTCATATCTACGCAAACAAAGTTCAAATTGTAAAAAGTCAAGCTTGAAAAATCTAAGTGTTTAGTCTTAGTAAGATGGTAGCTTCTTAAAGCAAATACCATTGCTGAGTTTTATGTATGTGAAGAGAAGTACAATGAATTCAATTACGAGTACAATTGCAATGACAACTAAGGCAACTATTTTTGTCTTTTGCCAGCAAGGGTATTTCTTCTCTTCCAATGGTTCGGCAGAACTATACTCACTCATGAGAAATGCCAAAACGGTTTAATAGAAAAAGTGTCATTTTTTCATGTCCGAAGACTCGAAGGTGCAACACTTCCAAAATACCGACGAACTCAGAAGAGCAGCATGGCAGTATGTTCTTGACAACTTCACTTCATCATTTTCCAAGGTTGAGTACAACTATTTCAACTGTGAACCTTGTAGTGACCGGTCTTCCTGCAAATGCAAGTTCGGTCAATACACAGTTTATGGTGGCAAGAATTGAAATTCCAGACCCAACTCCAACAAGAACTCTCAAGTTACCAGAGACTCGTGTGAAGAAGAAACCTTCTGGTAAGTTTCTTATAGCCATATACATGGCACGTTTAGAGTAAAAACATGTTTTTTCATTTTTTGAATGAAGCAAGTTAAATTCGTCCCACACCAATCTCAATGGACCGATGAAGAGTTTCAAGTCATGGTTGAAGGCGTTGAGAACGACATAGACGGCGAACTTGAAAGAGCTCAAACCACAATTGCAACCAAAATTGCAGAAGTCAAGGAACAGATAGCTCCACTTAAAGCTACCAAAGCTACTCTTGACCTCATGGATACTTACCGTTTAGATGTCAAGAGAGGAATAAGACAATTAAAATTAAAACTCTTAAATTACGAAGCTATACTCCAGAAGTTAGCAGAAATGAGAAGACTTTACCAGAGCTACTTACATGTAAGGGACTTACCTTCAAGCAGTCCGACCAAAGATGAATTTTCTGACATTGTCCCAATTTTGTCCGAAAGTCAGCTCATATGTTTTGAACTGCTCCCAACATATCCAGAATATGAACGTTTGCCTGAACGAGTGTGGTAGAATTTACGAAAAAGTGACACTTAACCTTAAATTTCCAAACACTATTTTTTGATTGTATTTTGTTATTTATATATTTATATATATAAATATATTTATATATGTATATTATATATGTAATATATTTATATATGTTTGTATTATATATGTATATATTTATATATGTATATATTATATATGTATATATTTATTATGTATATATTTATATATGTATATATTTATATATGTATATATTTAATATGTATATATTTATATATGTATATATTTATATATGTATATATTTATATATGTATATATTTATATATGTATATATTTATATATGTATATATTTATAATGTATATATTTATATATGTATATATTTTATATTATATATTTATATATGTAATATTTATATATGTATATATTTATATATGTATATATTTATATATGTATATATTATATATGTATATATTTATATATGTATATATTATATATGTATATATTTATATGTATTATATTATATATATAATATTTATATGTATATATTATATATGTATAATATTTATATATGTATATATTATATATGTATATATTTATATATGTATATATTTATATATATAATTTATATATGTAATAGCATGTATTTATATATGTATATTTATTTAAAAAAATTAAAAATAATATAATTAAAATTTATTTATATTTTAAATTTCATACTGATCTTCGATTCCAATTTGTGAATTGATATCATTAACAATTGAATTTCGGTGCACCCCTATGAGAGCGCTGGCGACCGAACACAACTAGTAAGATTGTGTATTAGAAACTGCTTCATGCTGTGTTGAGTAAGCTTCGATGTCTTTGTAGGATAGCTTTCTGAAGCGAAACAAGATAGTGTTGAAAAAAAATTGAAAATCTGAGAGACTGTGCAAGAGCCAACGACCAAAACACTACCAGTAAGATACAGCAGTAGTAGCTGCTTCATGCTGCATTGAGTATTGTTGAATAATTTGAAGTAGTGGTTTTTGAAATCAGCACCCCTATGAGAGCGCTGGCGACCGAAACACAAACTAGTAAGATTGTGTATTAGAAACTCTTCATGCTGTGTTGAGTAAGCTTCGATGTCTTTGTAGGATAGCTTTCTGAGAGCGAAACAAGATAGTGTTGAAAAAAAATTGAAATCTGAGAGACTGTGCAAGAGCCAACGACCAAAACACTACCAGTAAGATACAGCAGTAGTAGCTGCTTCATGCTGCATTGAGTATTGTTGAATAATTTGAAGTAGTGGTTTTTGAAATCAGCACCCCTATGAGAGCGCTGGCGACCGAAACACAACTAGTAAGATTGTATTAGAAACTGCTTCATGCTGTGTTGAGTAAGCTTCGATATCTTTATCAGACCACCTTTAAATTAACCACTCACATTCTCACTGTGGTCCATCTAAAATTTGTAAACTTTATGACATAAAATTATATTTTATGCAGGATCCCACCTATTACTTAATCTTTTTGGAATAAATGTTTTATAATATTTATCGATTGATTGTAATTTTTTGTATAAAAAAAAGTTTTTTATTTATATTAAAAATATATTCGGTTAATGATATTATCTTATAATTTGTAAATAAATCTAGTAATAAAATAACTTTAATAGTTGGTGTCACTTTTTCGAAAATTCTGGTTTTTTCGTCCCAATTTTGTCCGAAAGTCAGCTCATATGTTTTGAACTGCTCCCAACATATCCAGAATATGAACGTTTGCCTGAACTCTTCCGCAATCTCAAAAAACGTTTTTTGGTTCTCATGTTCGAAACTTTTATCGGAAGAGACAACAAACGTTCAGAAGAAGAACAAGATATTATTTTAAACTTGTTGTATGACTTAACTGTCATAACAAGCTTTTTGAAGTAAAACCGCCATTCTCAAACCACTTCATTTTTTCGATGTCCGAACAAGCACCGAAGCCGAACACAATAGCAGATGTCCTTTCAAGGTTGCCAGACAAGCGCCCAGTTCAAATTCAAATTGCCCAATTGAAAGCTCATCTGACAAACACCATTAAGACTCTCCAAAGTATCTTATGACAGAGATGACCAATCTCAAAGCCGATGTCCTCATGACCAAGCTTCCAATGAGAAATGCCTGAACGATTTCACGGAAACCTTGCGCAATTACGAGAGAGAACCGAGACCTTGCCAGACTCATCTACCGTTTCTTCGAAAGAATAGACGCCATCTGGAAGTACTCGGAAAGGACAGAACATGCAACACCGTACTTCGGAGTACCAAATTGAAGAAGGAATTGTCGAGGAAGAAGAGGAAGAAGAGGAAGAAGAGAAACACGAAGAAGTTCCTGAATCCGCTACATGGGCAACCCTTGTTGCCGATGACGGTTACGAAATTTCCCAACCCTACCCATACCAAATCCGCAACAAGGAGACAGGCAAGGTTCTTACCCCAGTCCTCAACAACTTGGGACACTTGAACCTTAACCTTCGGAATCGCGGTTCAATCTCCATGGGCAAGCTTGTCGCAATTCAATGGGTTCCAAATCCAGGCAAGAAGACGAAGGTCAGACACATTGACGGTGACAAGCTCAACAACCGTAAGGAGAACCTCGAGTGGTTCTAAGAGTAAAAAAATATTTTAGGGGGAAACCCCAAGTAAATTTAAGTGTTTAGTTGGATAAGTAGGCACTATTAATGGTAATTTGGAAAATTAGCTCCCGACTATCTCATACCGAAATGGCTCACAAAAAAGTGACATTTTTGGCGCCAATAATTTGATTTTTCTGATTCTTTCTATTTAGATATATTTATTTAATATTCATATTCCTTTATATTGCCTCATATTATTTCCCATTTTTAATCATATTATACAAATCTTTAATAATTTTTAATGTTTTGAGCTTCAAAATCTTGTTCTAACTATTTTCATTCATATATCCTAGAAAAAATTAAAAAGTTTTTTAGAAATAAAAATGTTTGTATGTAAAGTATTGAAAATATTCTAGATGAGAAGACATTCTCCAGAAGAGATTGATATTGATTGGCTTTGTGCGAAAGCTAAAATAAATCATGAAGGCAGAGTTATATATAATCATACTATCTTAAAGTATTCCTAGAAATTTCCAAAATTAACCGAAATATAACTGGACAGAATTACTATTTTCGAGATAAAATTCATATGGAAATACTAATTCATAACGCTTTATGTTATATAAAATTTAATTTATAAAAATTTCAAAATAAATCAAATTTAACACAATGAATATAACTGCAATCGAGGTTTTTGACGATTGATTCTTACGAAAGAAGTTTTCCAAACTTTGAGTTAATGTCTTGACATAACTCAAAGTTTGGAATCTAATAAGGGGAATTGTAGGCTATGAGGTACTGATTATATATCAGTGCCTCATAGCCTACAATTCCATTAGAAATGGAGAAACTTTGTCCGCATAACTTATGATGCGGACAAAGTTTCTCCCATTTCTACTTAGAATGAAAGGGCAAGAGGTATATAGGTACACTATATATCTCTTGCCCTTTCCTTCTTACCTAAAGACTTCCAATCTTATTTTTTTCCCCAATTTTCCCCTAAATTTAAATCTATATTAATATAAATAAATGCATAATATCAATCACAAAAATTAATGTTTATTTTTTTAAAAAATGCCGCGCAATTTAAGGTTTTCTGTCACTTTTTTGTGAGCCATTTCGGTACGAAACAAAATTAGCTCCCGACCTTTGAATTGGGCTCTTTCGTTATCTTCCCAGTTGCGTAGGAGGTCGTCCCAGAGGAGTTGGTAGAATTGCCAATTCAAGGACGATTTGTCCTCCCAGGCATTGAGGATGTACTGCTCGTAGAGTCTCATGACCTCTGCCTTGCACCAGACACCCTCTCCCTTGGAACGTAAGGCTTCTTCGAAGAGTATATAAGAATTTCCGAAAAAGTGACACCGAAAAAGTGACACTTTCAATAGGGAGTAACTCTTAAAAGGTGACAATTTAAAATTCACAATAAATAAAAATAATAAATTTTTTAGTCTATTAAATTATTCTTTTCTTTGAAATCCTCCAAAAATTCTTCGAAATGTTCTAAAATATAATCTGGAGAATTATAACAAAATTCATTAATTTCTAACATATACGTATCTAACAATTCATTTGGAATTTCAAACGATCTTAAATATGTAATTGAATTTTGTATCTTCTCATTTATTTGAGAAAGTTTTTCTTCAGCATGTAATGCATGAAAAATAGCGTGACTTCATTTTTGACAGTTTACAAATGTAAAGTGTTGCATCCTTAAAAACTTGGAAATATATACATTCATGAATTATCTTGTATATTAATTGAAAATCCATAAAACCCTAACAATATTTTTTCTTAAAACAAAACTATAAAAATATAAATAAAATTAATCGTTAAATAAAAATATTTGATATTAGAATTTTATTGGAAAAATAAAAAACTTAATATTTTAAAGAAATACTTAAATACTTGAATGTTTTAACTTTTACATTATCATATAGACTCTCAAATTATTAGCCATTTTGGCTGAGAACTATGGTCTGCGAGGTACATAGATAGAATCAGTACCTCGCAGACTATAGTTCTCTATATGGCGCCGAAAATTTTTGGTGAAATGCGACGACATTTCACCAAAAATTTTTCGGCGCCATAGGAAGAATTAGAGGGTGTGAGATACTATTACATGCTATAGTACTCACACCCTCCAAATCCCAATCAAAATCGCATAAAATTTGCTACTTATCTTCAGATTACCTCCCATTATAAAATATATCATTGCTATCTCATCGTACTATATTTCCACCCTATTGTATTTAAAAATATAAAATTTTTTGATAATATATTTTTATATCTTGAATTTTCAAACAATATATTCACAGATAATATAATGGGAAATCTATCTCAACCTAACCTTAAAGTACCAAACTCCTGCTTGCATTCTCACTCACAAATATTAAACACCCATCTCCAAAAAACTAAATTCTTCACAATTTTTTTAAAATTGAGAACATAAAAAACGTATGCATTCAATAATTTAAGATACTAACAAATATTAAAAACTTCAAAATATCAGATATTAACGTTTTTCAATTAAAAAAATATCATTTTGCTTTTCAATTCGACAAATAAATCGTAAATATTTTTAATTAATATCTGATTTACAGCATTATTATCCATTTATAAATCTGACAAATAAATGACAAAACCATCAGAAATAGTGTCACTTTCTGTCAAAAGTGAAGTCACGCTATTTTTCATGCACAACAGTTTTTCTTCAGCATTTTCCAATAAAAATCTTAATGGATTCAAATTGGCTTCTTGATTCTGAACAAAATTTAATACTTGGTATAAACGTGATTGAACTTCTCTTTTCAATTTTGTTTTATAATCTGTCAATCGAGGCTCGCGAATTCTAATTGAAGGAATAAAACCTGTTTGAAGTAAATCGTTTTTAATACGATAAAAGTAATTGGGTGCAACTTCTTCTAAAAGATTTTTGACAAAAACATCAATTCTTTGATTTTTAACGCAGCCAAAATCGTGATATTTTATCTTTTTAAATAAAGATTCAGAAACGTTATTCACAACGGTTAATTCATTTGGTCTGGCAGCGGCTATCCACTGTTGTTTTTGAATGTCCCACTGACGTGTAAAGTATTGATTAAATTCCAATTGATCTTGAATTTTATCAATAATGTGCTCTTTATACATTTTTGCAGCATCTTCTTCTGTGCAATCACGATAATAACATAAAATGTTCATAAATTTTTCGACTTCTGATCTAATCTCTTCATCATTTATCTTTGAGAGATTCTTTTTAAGTGCGCGTATTACATGTGGCGCGCACCAAAAGATATTGCACTCCGGAAATGAATTCCTAATCCCGTTGAAAATGTTTAGTGCACAGTCAGACATGATAAATTCAGGTTCTGTGTGAGTTGTTTCAAAATATTTACTTAAGCAAAAAGAAATATTTTCACTATTATCTGGATATATTATAAAATAACACAAAGGGATAGAATGAGTATTAGCAAATTTGGTAGCTAATACATAAAAAGGAAATCCATGAATAATTAATTTAAACGTAGAGTCTAAGTGATAAATTGGTGGTTTTTCATGAATTTGAGAGATCATATCATTATCAGAGTAAATAAAAACCAATTTGTCTGGAAAATCAGTATCTTCACCTTGAATGTCAAAATAAATAAGGTCATCATGTTGATCTTCCCATTGATTAACATAGTTTTGTAAAGATTGAAATTGATTTAAAGATATGTCTGGTAAAGATCTCATAAGATCTTTTTGTTGTAAATAATATTTCAATTGATTGATTGCAGTTTGTTTCATAGTCATGTGAATACAAGTATGATCTTTAGGTATTTCAAGCGTTTTGTTGACTTCTTGTGTTGCATTAAGTGGACTTCCGTGATTCATGAGAAATTTTTTAATCCAAGCACGGTAAGTACCACTTGTAGGTGTATTTTTATGTTGTGGTGGTGGTCCTGAGTGAATATGAGTTAAGTTTGCAGATTTAAAAATGTAATTGTCGAAATTTTTAATAAATTTAAAGCCTGCTGGGCAGCCTTCGTATTCGCATCGGTGGTAGATTAATACTCCTGTTCCAATTGATAGTTTTTGTGGGTCTTTGACAAATCTTATGTTACCATGCAGCTCTGCAGCTATAACAAAACGAGAATATTCTAAATATCCTATGGCTTGATCAACCTCGCATGGAGGATCGGGTGGAGGATGTTGCATTGAGCAGCAAAAAGGAAAAATAAAATTGAAAACTCACATTGAAAAAATAACGGTTTAATAGAAAATATTTTTTTTCTTCTGAAAAAGAATTATCTTTGAGTATCTAAATTGGGATAAAGGATATAGAATAGATAACTAGTACTTAATATATGATACATGTACACGAAATGGAAGAATGTGTACTAAAAGAAAGAGAAATTTTAGCTTAATATTTTACATACGAATCAATTATCTTTGGTTAAAAGGTAGAATTGTTGGCTATGATGTACTGATTCATGATCAGTACATCATAGCCAACAATTCCTTATACAAAATTCAAAAACTTGGGTGCAATCAGTTCTGATTGCACCCAAGTTTTTGAACTTTCTTGAGGGAATTAAAGGGTGAGAGATTTATAGTCTATCTATATATCTCCCACCCTCTAATTCCCTCCCTGACAGCGGGAAACTTTGTCTGAATGTTAAACTATTCAGACAAAGTTTCCCACTGTTTGCGAAGGAATTGTTGGCTATGATGTACTGATTCATGATCAGTACATCATAGCCAACAATTCCTTATACAAAGTTCAAAAACTTGGGTGCAATCAGAACTGATTTCACATAAGTTTTTGAACTTTCTTGAGGGAATGGAAGAGTAAGAGGTATACATTATGAATATATACCTCTTACCCTTCCATTTCCTCTCTGACAGCGGAAAACTTTGTCTGAATGTTAAACTATTCAGGCAAAGTCTCCCGCTGTCAGCGAAAGAATTGTTCCATCTGGTGCATAGAGTGTGAATCTATGCACCAAATGGAGCAAGTCCCTCGCGAAATTGCCCAAACTTGCGTCGCATTTCAAA